ACGTGCGTGACTGCACAAATTCTGGTATGTATCAAACCGCAGAATATCCTGGAGAGCGGGACACAAGGCCATTGTAATGGATGAGGTGACAGGCGGAAGTGTTGAGGTGCAAGCTGAAGGTGCCAAGAATGGTTAATATTTGAATGAATGCACGAATAGTGTTAGTGAAAAGGATGCGCTGATGCACTTATGTATGCAAATATGGAAACATATACATTAGGGTGGTCCAAAAATGCATGTGGGGGGGCGGGAAAGTTAAGTCGGAATTTGTATGCTCTCACAACCTAGGATTGTTCTATACCGAGAAAAATATGTCCCCATTTTGTATTTTCAAATTAAGAAATGTTTAGAGGTCGCTCAAAGCGCTCACAGTTTTGGGAAAAAAACAACTTTTCGTAGGAATGGTATAGAATTCTTGAAAATCAATATTTTTGTTTTCAGGGGATTCCCAATAATAATACCCAATTGATTATTTAATAATTTTTTCATAGTAACTATATTTTATAGGTCCGCCAAAACCACAGAAAATTGCAATGTGGGACCATTAAAAAATATTTAGTATTAGAGAATGGTTAAATAAACAAGTGGGTTTTATATTTAAAGAATTCTATACCATTTCTGCGAAAAGTGGTTTTACCCATATAAAATAAAATTAAAAAATAGGGATATATTTTTTGCGGCATAGAACGATCTTAGGGGGTGAAAGCATTAAAATTCCGACTTAACTTTTTTGGACAATCCTAATATATATATGTATATACCTACATACATATGTTTGGCTATGTGAATACAAATAGCTTGTTCATATACCTAACTCTTTGGTATTGAATGAATGCATTGCCGCAGCGATACCAATGGCATTGAAATTACTGAAGTAGAAAAGTGACTACTTGGCATTAAGCCGGCGAAACACGCGCACACAAACTTATCATGTAAAGTGCGCGTTTTTGTATCAATTTGTGAAGGATATGCAATCGAGTACGAGAGTGAATAAATGCTTTAAACGCTTTGTATGCATGTATGTATGTATGTACATATGTACTTAAGGGTGGTCCTTAAAAATCAAAAGACGGATTTTATTCAGTCTCAACTCCTCAATTGGTAATAACACGGTAACAGATATCACACACACACATTGGATATGGTTAAGGCGTGTCGCACAGGCTGCAAAGAACAGATTCCTCTATAGAGACTCAATAAATTTAAATTAATTTTTTTTTTCATTTAATATCCAAAATCGATACTACGAAAGTCGAGGATATCACATATAAATTTTCGTCCCGATTGGAGTAGGTTAAGACGTCTTCATAGTGTAATCTGAACTTTGACCCCTGTGCGACACACCTTAACCGACTTCAATCGGGACCAAAATTTATATGTAATATCTTCGACAATAAGAGCATCGACGAAAATTTGCTTCCTACAATTAAGGTCCACCCTAATGTACATATATCCCTTGGTCGCATAAATGCTTGTGAGTCCTTATTGTACCTACTGGTGTACATACATATAAAATAGAACATTAGTACTCCTTTTTCTGCCTATTGTTCAGGTGAAACCTGATAAACCACGTCCCGTAAAGGTTTGAATTTATAGCGGCGGTTTTTGCAGCGGCGAAGCCACACGTGAGTGGTTTCCACTCGGCTACTTAATGTGCAACTACGTGATTTTGATGACGGTGCAATATCGATTGAGACAATCACCGCAAATTCAGCAAAAGTCATTCATTCAGCCTATATTTTTAAATATACTTGCATCCATACCGCCAAGCATTACCCGTTTTTTATAGTTTTCCAGCAATTGGCGTGCTAGTTAAGTGCAGTCTTAAAGCTGCAAATTGTCGCATTTACTTAATTGTATCAAACTGGCACGCACTATGCATTAATTTTTGATCACAGAACTAACCAAGCTCATCCGCTGTGGTAAACAAACAAAGAGTGGTTTGCCGAGTTTCTTTAGCCTTATCCTTGCAAGGGCTAGGCACTCGCACAGAAAGTTTTCGACTCTCTTCTTTGAGCCCGGGTAATCGCAGCTGCGACAGAACCTAATCAAGGGTAAGCCAATACTTTTGACATGTACTCCAACGTGCCAGTGTCCTATGCCGACGGCCGTGAGTTTGTGGGTATTTTCTTTGCTCATCACTAGTAAATACCAGGTTTTAAGAACTGCCGTGTAATCCTATATGATCCTGTACCGTTTCACCTCTATCCAGCATTGGAATGATACATTTCGGCAAGTTTGCCCTTGATCTCTCTGAAGTAATCTAACAATCTGAGAGACAGACGTGCAGTAAAGCCGTATGAGAGCCTTAGATCAGTGTTCATCAAGAATGTCTCCCTACATCGTGAGTGTTCATCATCCTATGCGAGTAGCTCTGAAAATCGTTCATAAGGAGGCGCCAGAGAGCCACTGCGATGCTCAGAGGGTTTCCCCATGACTATCCCTTTATGTCCTTAAACCATACTAATTCTCTGACGAATCATAGCAGACCCTCCAATGGAAGAAATGGTTCACCTGAAATTTAAGGTGTTTGTTCCGGAGAGCAGGGCACTCGCAAAGCAAATATTGGATGGATTCTATCTCGCCTTCATCTCCACAGCTTCTACAGAAATCATTAGACAGGGCTTCAAATCTAGCGGCCATGTGTCTAATGTCCAATGTTTTGTTACTATTCCTGCAAACGTTTGAATAAGAGAGCCTTAGCAAAGTCCTTGTTCTTCGTTCGTCGAGTCGTGGCCCGATACTGCGAAGGTGTGTAGATTTTTCTACCTGAATTCCTGAAGACCGGCATCAAAGGGAGGTTTCACGATCGGGGCCCCTTCATCTAATCCTATCTGTGATTCCTTTCTGGTACACTAGTGGCACATACAACGGTCAAAAACTTTTAGATGCCGATTATTGCCATTTCGTTCGATTTTATGGCAGCCTCGCTGCCAGAATATATTGTAATGAGCCGCCCCGAAAGAGCGGAATCTATGAGCCAATGAGCGGACTCCATTAGGATCTTAAAAACGCTACAGTGGTCCGGTAAGTGAAAATTAAGGTTTAGTACGAGTTCACTGGCGTTAATCCCGCTACCTACTCTATCGCTGTGGCACCAACCGATTCGTTCTGCTCAGAGTTTCCAACACCTTTGAGTTTACGAATCTGAGGTCTCCCCACTTCGAGATCACATTTTACCTGGCAGCACTACATCTGGTAAGAAGCGAAGATTTACCTCCTTTTTCTTATTTGGCACTACAACCGTTTGAAAGGTTGGGCTGAGCCAAAAAACTTCGCCATTTTTCTACAGGTCATTCTGTACTTGGCCTTTCCATTATGTTCGTGAGAGTCCTCGCTACTACTGCTTATGCCCTAATCATTGTCTAGTGATGAACCCCTTTAAATTAACCTGAACGTTTGGCCAAACTTGGGATGATACGCTAACCAGCGGATTCAACGCTTCTTGGCCATTGGAATTGGCACGAATTGCACTTTTTCCATTTTCAAGGAAGTTTAAATAAAGCAACTTGCCTGTAGTCTTATGTTAACGCCGAATAGCAAAACCGATGCTTTCCATAGCCTACCCAGGTCCGACCGCTATTCGAAATATAGAATGAGTGGATATTAGTCGGATCATGTAGTCTATCTTGATCTTTGTGCCTACATTTTTTACTTAAACGAAGAAATGATTATATAAAGACTCGATAGTGGATGAGTACTTGTAGTTATCCTACCTCGTCTAATCACCTGCCCAACTTCCCACCCATCTATACTTTCACCTATAGCTCATCCAAGCTAATATATTGTTTACTTTTAACTGTTGGGACATTAAACTGAAGACGGGGGAAACCTTCAGCTACCTCAGTTGGCAGTGTTGCATATCATGCTAAGCTAGCATACATATACTCACATCCTTTTCCCTTCTTACACCGTGTGCGTACAAAAGCAGATGAGGCACAAAAACTCGGAGTACCACGCCATTAGGTACTTGATTGGCTTGTGGATGACATTCGCCGCAACGGGCAATCTGAATCCGAGCAAAAGCAAAATTAATGGCTTGAAAGGTACTAAATGGCGCCCAAAGCGATGCAACGCCGCCGGCAAATGCCACTGCCACAAATTCGCTTTCAATGAAGATTTCCCTTAAACTTCTGCTTCTTCTTCTCGGGCTACTGCCCAAGTGTTTAAATATTGGCCACGATTTTGAATTTATGACATTACCCGAAATAGCCAAGCTGCGCGCATAGCAACAAATTTGACGCTTGCATCGGAAGCTGCTCGCCAACACCAGACTTTATCGATTGGCATCCGTACATCTCTAGTCCACGCTGTACTCGTAATTCGAAGTCTTGTTTGTGTGTTTGCTGCTAAGCAAATGGGAATTGTGGTTAGTTGTAGTTGTTTGCTTTTAATTGGCATTTATGAATCGAAGAGTTTTATGAATGGTTGAGGCAGTGTCGCGTTGTTTTGTAATTAATTATGTTTAATGGGTCTTAAAACCGTCGATGGGAGCAAATGTGTAAGAGTGTAAGTAAGCTATTAAAATAACAATTAAAATGATGTCGAAAATGCTGTTTTATTTAATTGCTAATAAATAGATTTTACACGGCAATAACAGAGAATTTAAATTTGATTGTTTTCATAAATTTTATTTTGTATTTTTTTTTGCCTAGCAGACAAGAAATGCTTCTAGGAACCATCACACCGATCACTTCAGATACTTGCGGCACTTATTATAAAATTCTTAGAAGTGCTTACAAATATTTATAACTATTCTAAGGAAACAATAGAGGATTTCGAGGCTTAAAACGATTTTAAGATTTCTGTAATTTTAAACAAAAAAATCTCCTTGGATGTTTTTTTCCAAGCCTTGGGTAAGAGGCTGAAAAATCAAAAAGAAAATTCAAAATCAAAAAA